AAAAAAAAAAAAAAGAAATCTGGAGACTTCAGTCAGTGCCTGAATCTTGTGGGGGCCCCTGGACTGGGACAGAAACATCATGAAAGCGAACTTCTCAATTCGGTCTAATAAGCTCTACCACTGAAAAGGTTTATGGAAAGGAGGGGAAAGCTGTTTAGTTCATTTCTAATATGTTAATTATCTTGTATTGTGTATAGCTTTGATTAGAATGCAGAGTGTTCTTGAGGCCTCCACTGAAATTAGTGCCAAGTGTGTGTACCTATCGGGCACCGGTCTACCTAGTTTATGTTTTGTGGGTTCTTCATGAGGAATCATTACTGATGTTATTATAATCCTTGTTAGCCTTACATCATTGTTAAGTATGATGTACATGAAGAAATAAGGTTGAGAAAAAGAAAAGAATCACATATGAAGAACAAAAATGAATGGGTAAACTGAGCATCTGTAGCATAGAGTGGGAAAAGCAACTCATTTCAATGAGATATGGGAGTGAGGATTACAAAAGATGACTCCAGGCAGTTTGAAGTTTCAAGGAATGAAACATTTAGAGAAGAGGTTCTCAAACTTTTTGGTCTCAGGACCCCTTTATGCTTTTAAAAAACTGAGGATTACAAAGAGCTTTTATGTGTATTACTGATACTTATCATATTAGAATTTAAATTAAAACCCTCCGTCAGGTGCAACTGATCTCACAGATTCATTGCACACAAAGATGCCGCTATGAAATACGTCTTTACTGTACTAAGTCACAAACACGACAGGCCTTAGGTTACAGTAGAGGGGAAGATACGGAAGCGATGAGTCACGATATCTAAGTTAACTGTTAGAAATTTGAAAATTTGTGTGCAATGAATCTGTGAGATCAGTTGCGCCCAACGGAGGGTTAAGAAATTTCAAGAGTAGATTTTAAGAGTAGTTATTATTTTATTTAAAAACAATAAACCAATTAAATGTGAACATAAGAATCTTTTATATGAGTAGGGTTGGCCCCAAAAAAGAAGATACCCACTAAGAAGGGATCCTGGTGGGTAACTGGGCTCAAATTTAAAAAGAGAGCTTCGCAGCCATTTCTAAACAGGAACCTCTCGTATATGCTTCAGAGGAATCCTGCACTGTCTGCACTAAGCTGCCTAGCTCCCACATTAAGCTGCTTGCCTCCTGCCTGCCTGAGGCCTGAGCCAACCCTTGTAAATTAGTTTCTGGAATCCTATTTTCACCAATAGAATTGAGACTGTCCCCCATCCAGTCAAAGCTGCACAGCTCTGTAACCGTCATATTTTCAATGACCAATCAGAGCAGCTCCATTTTAACCAAACAGGTCCGTACTTTTGGGACCAATCAAACTGTGAGGATCTGGACCCCTTATTTGCATGACAAAGGCCCAATCAGGGACCAAAGGTGGGTACTTCTCTCTCTATAAGTCAGCTCCCCATTGATTAAGGGTGCACTTTTTCTTTCCGCTGAAGACTATGCTTTGCTGGCTGTAACTGATGTACTGAAGAGGCTTGTGGACCAAGGAGAAGCCGAGAGGAGCACAATGCCCTAAGCAGAGCAGGGCAGAGCAGAGCTGTCTACTGGAGAGTGGAGTCCGCTTAGGCGGTCTCACTAATCTTACTGTTTCATACACAATTAAGCTGCTCTGTAGCTATGCTGTTATCAGGATTGAGCTGTATGCTGTTTACCCCAAATTGGGCATTGAATTGGCGCCAAGATCATGGGTTTGACAAAAGTAACTATTTTCTAAAACAAAAAGTTAAGTAGAGTGGCATTGTTTTATGGTTTTGAAAATATCTGTCTCGTTTAACAGCAGATGATTGGATCCTAATACCTGCTTCTGTTTTCAGTGTTCCCGTATCACATGTCGTGTAGCCTCTGAAAACCCACTGTGAGAGAATGAGTGCGCAAAAGGCAAATAACGTTTTAGTAAATATGGAAATACTTACACCCTCCCCTGTGAAAGGGTCTAGGAACGCTTGGACCGTAGTTTGAGAACCACTGTTTTAATATTAGTTAATATTAAAGTGGGCGTTAGTCAATCCAGCACCAGTTGAAAACTAGCCAAGCAGTTTCACAGTCCTGAGGATTTACACAGGGTTTACTTTTTCAGGAATATGAAACGACTGTCCTCATTATAAGGCATCCAGAGGATACACAAGCATGCCATACAACATCCATCAAGCGGAAATGAGCGATCCCACGTCAAGTAAAAGGATGTTGGGGTAGGAATGAAGAGCACCCCCCCGGAAGCCATGGAGATCCACTGAGTTAGGAGAAGCAAAACTGGTAGAAAGCTCTGCCAAAGGGAAAGATGGGCAGGGAGAGAAAACGGTTACGGCGGGAGTTGCAGGAATCAGGTTGGGATGAGGACAGGAGCAGAAGAGCACTCGCCCTGAGGATGCGGCGAATCCAAACGCGGCGGCGGGCCCCCGCCCCCATCCCTCCCTGCACCACACTCAGGCGGGCGAGGTGGACCGGTCGAGGCGCGCGGGTCAGGGCCCTTCCCTGAGCAGCAGGGGTTGAGATTTCCTTTCAAAAGGGGGTGGGGGAAGAGATGGCGGGGACGTAGTAGGGGGCGGCGGCAGGAACCTTCGGATCCCAAGCAAGGCGCAGAGGGTTGGAGGTCGCCAGGGAAGAAGGACAGTCCTGTTGCTATGCAACCCGTCCTAGGCCCGCCTCCTGCTCTCGTTGCTAGGAGACGGCGAGGCCGGGGGAGGGCGGCTGAGCGGGCCCTACGTGCTGACGCTAATTGTATATGAGCGCGAGCAGCGGGCTCTTGGGTCTTTTTTAGCGCCATCTGCTCTCGGCGCCGCCTCCTGCTCCTCCCGCCGCTTCCCTGAGTCACTGCCTGCGCAGCTCCGGCCGCCCGGTTCCCCGTGCTGTCCACCGGTAACGGATGGGGGCCTGAAAGGGAAGGAGGAACGTAATGTCGGCCGGGTGGCCGGCGCGGGGGGGAGGCGGCGGGATGGGGGGCAGGGGACCGAGAGCAGGGGCTGCTGGCCGCCCCGGGCCTCTCGGCTCGTCCTAGGAGGTCAGAGCCGGAGGCGTCCGCAGAGTTTCGACCCCGTAGCCGGAGAGGCCGCCGGGATCGGCCGGCGCTTTTTCCGGGAACGGCTAAGGAGACGCAGGGGTCGGTCGGCCCGGGGGGGTCGGGGGCCGTGCCAGTCTGCGCCGAGCTCCTCGGAGCTCCCCTGGCGTCAACGCGCGGACGGGGGCGAGGCCGCGGCGGCGCCCAGGCGCCCCTGCGAGGCGACGGCCGCACCGCTAGGGACCGGGAGATTCCCGGGGTGGGGGCCGGGCCCGAGCGCCTGGGTGACGGCCGCCTCGAGGTCCCAGCTTTCTCAAAATTAATGCCCGGAGGGAGGCCGCTGGGGAATGGAAAGAAAGGTGGAGGCTGCGAATTCCGATGGGAGGGAGGGGCTGCGAAGGGACGAGGCCCCGGGGTAGGGAGGGGGCGGGGAGGCTGCGAGGCCCCTGGGCTCCCCGCCCACTGGAGGCGGCGACCGTGCGGGGCGGGGAAACCCCGGGCCGCTTCCTTCGACACGTGGCCGCCTCTCTGGACCGAGGGAGACCCCTGTTTCAGGCGTCCTTGCCGAGAGTTGGAGAGACGGTGGGATGTGAAAATGCAAAGTGAGCACATATGTCCAGACCCTGGGTTTCAAACTCATAGCTGCTCCTCTTCGGTCTTCATCTTTTTATTGGTACTGGAGGAAAGAATGAATGTTCGGTGATGGAGGGCCATCATTGCTAGAATTTTAGAGAATTAATGCGTGTAGAGTGGATATGTGAGCTGCATTTTTTTTGTGTGTAGCTCACATATGGTTAGAAACTGGGTGGGTGTCTCGACCAGGCTCTTTTTTTTTGCGGGGGGTGGGCGGGGGGGGGAGAATTGAACCTAATTAATGTAATCCTCTAAAGACTGAGTCTAAACGGTTCTAAGGTGGCAATACTACCAGATTTGCCAGCAATGTCTTTAGTTTTTCTAGGACTAATATTTTCTTACAAGTTCCTTTATTGCAGTTCGCAGAATAAGATGCTACTAGCTCTTTTAAGATGAGTGGGGATATGCTGGAGGAACTATGGACTGCAATGAGCAGTTAATGTCGACCTACTGAGCCAAGTTTGTACCCTGCTGTCTTAGCAATGACCTCACTTCCTTTAAAAAGGCAGTGAGGGAGGTGGAGAATGAGGTCCTATTTGGAGGGCTAGGCTTTCAGAGTACAAAAAATGAACTGAGTGTAGGATGTCCTCAAGGAGCCCCTATTTTAGACTGTCACCATCTGATTAGTTACTTTTGTAACGACTGCACTTTGAAAACAACGCTGCTTGCTTGGTTTCAGGAGAGCTGAGCTTTAAAACGAAATTTGCTGTATTTGAAAGTAGGTAGCATCAAAGTAGGGTTTGAAATTAGTGTTTAGATCCTGTTGTCAACTTGAATTAATATTCTATACTTATTTTACTTAGGAAATAAGATACAGTATCTTTGGATAAGGGGAATACCTTCTGTAAATCCTCACTTAACGTCATGGATAGGTTCTTCAACTTTAAGAGTAACCTTGTATAAGGAAACCACTGTTACAATAGACGAATGGATTTAGACAAGGGTTAAGTTGCCAGTGTATCTAATTGAATGAAACCACAATATACAGAAAACCTGTTGTATGGAGAAGAACGTATTTAAAACTGTTAGGAGGTAAAAGAGGCTTACAGTGATCTTCTGGGAAGATTAAGTATCAAATGCTTGTTCAAAGTTGTCCTAGTTCAAATGGGCCAAATCTAAAATGTGCAGTTTACTTTTTAAGAAAGGTGGAGGGTAGGTGGAACTAAACATTGGTAGGTCTGTTTGGACATCTAATATAAAATCCTTGATTTCATTGTCTTCAAATAAATGTTAATTTTATAAAGAACATTTTAAAAATTCACTACACCTGTTTGAAAATCTATAAATGTTACGTGTTACAAAGTACCTATTTTTGATGTTGGGTGTACTGACAGAGAAAATTATTCAGTTAATACTAAATGTGGCATTTGACTGTCTTTGTCCTCTAGAGACTAAAAAACAAACAACCACTTGTACCAGAACTAATTTAATCCAAAATGCTCTTCATTTTATTACTTACCTGCCCAGTTTCCACCTGACTGATTTAATTGTAAACATCCTAAAATATATTAAATATAGAGTCTTTTTGTATGAAAGGTGGCTAAAAGAGGCAGAATCTGTTCAACTTCAAGGTAATGAAGATTTTGAAAAACAAAATTGAGTAAATGTGAAGCTCTAATTGGCTTTTTTAAGTGATGGACAACATCCCCATCCAACAGCTAGAAAGGCCCTTTGAGAGTTTGTACCAAATGGAAGGTTTTTTAGGAAGAAGAGTAGGGCAGCGTTGCTATTAACAAAAGAAAAGAAAGGATTGTTTTCTGCAGGGATGTTTTTATCATGCAATTGCCTCTTCTATCTATGGGGTGGGGGCAGATGTCCATGTGACAAATTACCTTATCGGTGTTGACTAGAAAATTCCAGACTGGTAGATTATGTTTCTGGGAGAAGTTAAAATGGCAGTTAGATCAGATATAGAATCTAGGTTTGGTATCATGGGCTTTTAGCATGAGTGATGCCATTTTGGACTTGTCGTTTTCTTCTTTTTAACAATGTTAAAATACTACTTTGCTTACTTTATTCATTTTTTTGCTTGGCTGAATTTGAAATATTAATGAAAGATAGAATTAGAGGGAATAAATCCTGATCAATCTAGAACACTAATCACCTATTGAGAACCCTTCAAGTCTAATCAAATCTGTAATTATGTTTTATTTGATTCTTTGAGTAAATATTTTAGTACCTATTTGGACATTTATAACATATTTACATGATGGAACCTGTTAAGAATGGTGATGTTAAGTTCCATTTTATATTGATTTCATCTGAATAAGTTCTTTCCTTGTTGGGCAGAGTAGGAGTTAGAAGGTGAGTGCTGCTTTCATCCTTTTAAATTGTTTAATACTTTGACAGTAGACTACTAGGTCACCTTACTGGGCTTGCCACAGAAGGTAGTAGCCTGTATACTCGTGGTTACCAACTCTGCCTTTTACTGCTACATAGATTGACACATTTTTATCTGTTTGGAAGCTTTGTATATTGATTTTTATTGGGAAAGGAGGCTGTAATTTTTAAGAGTTTATTAACTACACTGGATTGTTTTCTAAAGTAGAAAGGGTACAGAAGAACACAATGGGTGGATAATGTAGTAGTTAGCACTTACTGGGTGGTTAATCGGACAATGTTTTAAATTATTCAACATGTATTAACTGATTTAGTGTTTGTGGAGGTAGATACTATGGATATTCTAATGAGGAAACTGAGGTACAGAGTAAAGAATTTAATCAAGGTTACATAACTAAACAATGATGATTTATGATGAGGAACTTAGTATTGGTTTTAAAGTGAGTTCCCTTTACTTAAATTGTCATGCTGTACATAAGTTTGGACTTCAAAAGCACTCTTGCTTGGGTTCTACTGTGCTCCAAGGAAAAGCTACAACACTTAATGATTATGAAATCATTTTCCAAACATACGTTGTATATATTCCACAGGAATAAATTGTGTGGGGTTTTTTGTTTGTTTATGCTAGGTGAATTTTCAAATATCAGTCCATCCCAAAATGTTTCTTTGCCATTGGATCAGATAACTCTAGATAATGAGATCCCTTGAACAAAAGATAGTGTTTTCAAACAAGAGTCTATTTTGTTTGGGACTCTAATAAAAAGTCAGTTGTAAGTTAACTGAAAAAGTGAGCATAAAGAATATGATATTCTGGCTGAGGTTGTGTTGGAGTCAACTAAAGTATTGAGACCCTGGACCACTGAAAATGTTAATGGAACAACAGTGTCTGAAAGATAGATTTGTTATAGTGCATTGGAATGAGATACGAGGTCTGAGGTAAAGGGACATATTATTATCCTTGGGATGTTTGTTACTGTTTCTCTTGAACTCTTGCTTTATTTGTAGTTTTTACTGATGCCTGTTTTACCATGAAGTAGTAATTTTCCATAAAGGAATAGTAACTAGTTTGTTATTGTATAACCTATGGAGCTGATAGGGAAGGCCGGCCCCTTGGTTTTTGGAATAGTGGACTGGGCATGGGTTTTGGAAGTCAGGTTTTTTAATTCCTAGTTTCTTCATTTTGGTTGCTGAGCAAGTTGCTTAACATTTTATCTGCAAATAGGAGGAAAGCCTATGCTAACCCCCTACAGAATAGGCTCCATAAATGTTAGCTTTTTTTCATTCCCATTGAAAGTAGGAGAGAACTTAGAATCAGGTTTACTAGAATGGTAAGTTATTTGATAGCACTTATCTGGACATCTAGCTATTACAAGATCACAAAATCAGTTTATGGTTTGATCAGTAACTTGTTCCCCCTCTTTTTGCACTGAAAGATTTTCTTTGTGTTCAAGTTCTCAGGTTAAAATATGCCTTCAGTGATGTTATTATGAACCATACCTTTACATTGAGATCTTCCATATTAGGTAGTAAGTTGAACCTTTCACCTTTTTGTCTCTAGTAATGCTTTTTCTTTTCTTTTTCTTTTTTTTTTTTTTAAAAGGCATAGTTTACTTTAGGATTCATTCTTTTTTTTTTTTTTTTAAAGATTTCCATTGGGGAATTGGGGGGATGGGAACAGTGCTGGGGAATTGGGGAAAGGGGAACAGACAAGTTGCTGTCGTTTTGTTCTTCAATCTAGTTGTGGAGGATGTTGCTTCACTGGCCCAAGTTGGCACCATCATTGCGCTCTTCTCTGGCGAGGCAGATCAGTCGCCGGCTTCTGGTCGGCCGCTCACGCTGGCTGCTGGCCACACACGGTAGCCCATGGCAATCCACTGCCACAGGGACTGCAGCCCACGCCGTCGCCGGCGACTCATGGCAGCCCAGCTCCAGGTTGAGCTGTTGTTCAGCATCTTAGCTGTGGAGGGCAGTGTCACTGGCCCTCATGTGTGGGATCCGAACCGGGGCCCTCTGGCATCCCAAGCGAGTTCTTAACCATCGCGCCACTCGGCCGGCCTTAGTAATGCTTTTTCTTGAAGTCTTTTCTTGATGCTAGTACAGTGATGCCAGCTCTCTTTTGGTTAGGATTGTATTTCACTGATAATATTTAATGGGAGCCTTTAGGTGATTTACATTTAATGTAATTACTATGGTGTTTATGTATAAATCTGATTTTTTTGTGCTGTTTGTCCATCCTATTTTTCTTTTAGGTTGATATAAAAATACATACATTTTAATTGTTTTTTGTCTACTTTGGAACTTACATGTTCTGTCTTTAATCTTTTAAGGGTCACTCTAGAAATTACAATGCACATACATAAATAAGAACATTAGAATACTTGAATCCATTTCCTGCCTCCATACTCTCACCACTGACTTCATGTGGTGGTTTAAAATTTTTAACACTATACACAGTGGTGATACTACTTCATTTAAAATATTTAAATTATTTAAATATATGTGGAAAACTCTTTTGCCCGTCGTTTCTTTTATCTCAGACCTTCCATTTTGGATGGATCACTTGCTGTCTACCTGAAGAATTTACTTACAGAATTTATTAGAGTGCTAAAGCTATTTTTGCCTGAAAGTATCTGTTTTGCCTTCATTTTTGAAAGATGTTTTGATTGGGTATAATATTCTAAATTCTCAGTTATTTTCAGGCACGTTAAGTACAACAATACATTCTGTTGTCTTTTAGTGTCTTCCTGAAGGGAAAATAGCTATCTTGTACCTTTGGAGTTAATCTAAGTCTTCTCTGTGCTTTTGAGGTGACTCCTGTTTTTAGTGCCTTGCCTTTTCACTGATATTATCTAAGTGTGGGTGTCTTTATTTATTTATCCTGATTGGGATTTGTAGGGCTATCTTCCATTAGTTCTGGAAAATTCTTAGCTATTAATTGCTTCAAATATTTTTCCCATTCTCTCCTAAAACTTGAATTAAGTCTTTTTTAGACTTTATTGTATACTAAAATGCCTTTTAACTTAAGTCTTTTCCATCCTTTACTTTCTGCTGTATTTTTGGTAGATTTTTTCTAAACCCACTTCCAGATCACTTAATTCTCTCTCCAGCTGTGTTTAGTCTGCTGTTAAACCTGCCTGTTTAGTTTGATTTCCATTATATTTTTATTTCTGGAAGTTCTATTTAGTCCTTTCCCAAATTTGCTATATCACCTTTAATAGATTACTGTTCCTTGTAGATGAGGTTGCAAACATTGTATTTTCAAACTTAGTAAGCACGGTTATTGTCTTAGTTTATAGTTACAAGTTTGTAGTCTTTTTGACGATATTTAAGTCTTTGTGAGACTGGTTTCTTACAAAGACCAGTTACCCCTATTGCTGTTGAAAATTCTTTTATGAATTATCTGCGGTCCAGGATGAAGGTGCCTCTCACTTAGATTTGGATATGCAGGTGCCTAGGAACACCATCTGAAACTGCTGTAAGCTCATTGCTCAAAGTGTTTTAAGGGCAACACTTAGGAGGTGAATTTGGGCTTTTGTCTAGAATTGGTTTATTATCTCTGAGAATTTAGCACTTGGGGGTTCCTGTTTAATTTGGGAGGGTTGCTATAAAGATCCCGATTTAAGAGGTCCAGGGCATTTGATGTCACCCCATGGTAGTTCACATTTGAGGTTGGCAGTTGCCCTCAGGGCAAAAGTGACTTCCTTCTGCTTATCATTTTGCTTCCTGTTTTGCCTTCACTTTGGGGTTAATAATTCCTTACTATCTTATTAACATTCTTCATGCTTTTAAGATTTTAACAAATGTTAGTGTGCTTTCAATTATTTTTCATTGGTAGGATTGGTCTGCATAATCTAGCTTGTCACTACCAGAAATTGAAATTCCTCTTTTCTCTTAGAAAGCAATTTCATGTCTAATTAATAACATTCTCATTGATTTTATTTAATGTTGTTGACTGCAATAAAATGATTAATGTAGGTGTCAACCTAAACTTGTGTTTCTCAATGTGATCTGATTATCTGAGATTACCTATTTCAGAAGCTAGGCTTCTTATTTAGAATGCAGATTTTTGTGCCTGTTCCATCAGACCTGTTGGTTCAGAGTCCCGGTATGGGGATCCCTTTTAAAAATAAACTTATTTGTAATTTTAGATTTACGGAGAAGCTGTAGAGGTAGTTCAGAGAGTTCCCATATTCCCCTTCCCCAGTTTCCCCTGATGTTAACGTTTAACATTGCCGTGGTCCATTTACTGGTCAGTCTGTACATTTGCCAGAGCTAAAAGAACCTGTTTTTAACCATCATTATTTAAGTCTTTTCCATAAATGTGCTTCTTAATATGATCAGCGAGGGAACAGTTTTTTCCTAATTTTGTTGATGATGAAATAAGGCCAGACGTTTTCCAAAGCAAGATTTGTGTCAACCCAGATGATCTGACTACAAATTTGGGCCTACTTTAAAAAACAGAAAGTATGCGTAACCAAGAAATCTAACTTATCCAGAATGGGTATGTTGGGGGGGGGCATCTCTGAAAAAGTAAATACTATCCTCTTCTGTCTTGAGTCCTCTTTAATAAACAAAAGAATTTCGTTGTAAGAGGTTGAATTCTGAATGAAATGCCACAAAGGGAACATTGAGGGTTAGCAGTGTAGGAGTAATAATACTCCAAATATTAGCACTTGACTGCTAAAATCAGTAACCTTTCTTAACTCTTAAGTGTATTATCAAACATGTCAGTATAAGGAAACACATCTTGCAGCATTTTATGAATTAAAGACTAAGGTTTAAAATTTTTTTTTTTTTTTAAGATTTTTATTGGGGAATTGGGGGAAGGGATCAGACAAGTTGCTGTCCTTTTGTTCTTGAGTCCAGTTGTGGGGGGCGTTGCTTCACTGGCCCAAGTTGGCACCATCATTGCGCTCTTCCCGGGCGAGGCTGATCAGTTGCCGGCTTCTGGGGCGGCCGCTCACACTGGCTGCTGGCTACACACGGTAACCCATGGCAACCCACCAGCCGTCGCTGGCGACTCCCGGCAGCCCAGCTCCAGGTTGAGCTGTTGTTCAGCATCTTAGCTGTAGAGGGCAGTGTCACTGGCCCTCATATGTGGGATCCGAACCGGGGTCCTCTGGCGTCCCAAGCCAGCTCTTAACCAGTGTGCCACTCGGCCGGCCCCTAAGGTTTTAATTTTTAAAAGGTTAAAAACTTGATTTTAATGTGGGATCCTATTTTAAACTTGATTTTAAAAATTCTCTTTTTAAAGTAATCTGCATTACTTATGGCATTCAGCCATTTTTTTCTGCCTGAATATAACACATTTTAAGTTTCGATTTTCTAAAAGCAGTATTTTAGTTAATACTACTCTTACAGTGAGAAAGAACTTAAGATGTGCTCTGATCAATTCTAACGTATTTGTTGAGATCTGCTAACCAAGAGCGTAGTTGACCATCGGCCAGCATATTCTGGGGTAATCTGGGGAGTGTGATTATCAGTGATGTGACAAGAAGTACATTTGAAGAGATGGGTAAGGTTTACTTGATGTGGGTTAAAAGGCTGACATTTGATATAGGGATTATTAAACTTTTTTTAAAAGATCTTCAGGGAGGCATAATGAGTATAGTAGGTGGCAGATTTTGGCTTTTTAACATGAATTGAGTAAAATATTAATACTGTTAAAAATGAAGTGGATTTGTTTTTGTGAGGTACTTAAGTAGCCTAAAAATATAAGCAAAAATTGACCATTCGTGGTTGTTACAGGAATTTGAATAAAAATCTTTTGTTCCTTTTCTGATTCTAGCATACATTAGGTTCTTCACCAACAGTGCTACTGTAGAAGTCCTTACATGATAGATCCTAAATGCTTGCTATCAGTATCCTCTGAAAAATTACTTTTGACTAGTATGAAAGTATGTTCCATGCTTTTTCTTGATACTGATCCTTTTTTAATGGGAGCATTAATTTTTTCTTGGGATAGTTTTCAACATAGTATTGATTTAAAGGGTTTTGATTTTAAATCTTTTTATTGGTTTTAAATAGTGTGCTTTTTTTTTTAACACTGATATTTCTCTCCATAGATATTTGGCGTTCTTAAAACATGGCAGACATTGACAAGTAAGTGACAGATAGTTGGTTCTTTTTTCAGAGATTTGTCATCATTTTGTACTGTGATAAAGTTAACAGTAGTGCTAATTATGTTTGTGAAAATGTATGGTAATGACTAATGTTTAGTGCCTGCTGTTATAAAAGTTGGGTACAGTGTATCAAAGACAAAATAATGGTATATATAATCACTGTCATAAATATAGTAAGCCATTTGTCAGTATTTATTCTTAGGAAAGGGCTGAACACAACAATGAATCAAATACTTGCAGAATCCATTTTTACCATATGTTTCCCAAAGAATTTTACTAACATTGTGTGACATGTCATGTTACAAGATAAAAAGTGTATAAAATATATATGTAGAGTTTAAAGAATAATAGGACACTTGTGTACAAGTTTTTAAAAATAGAACATTAGTATCAGAAGCCCTGTGTGCCCCCCTTCTCAATTGCATCCTCTACCTTTCCTCTCCAGAGAAAGTGTAAGCACTATCTTGGCTTTTGTCTAATTCGTTTCTTTGTTATTCTTTAGTTTTACCACTGACATTCTTAGTGTTTAATTTTCAAAATATGAATAGCAGTAACAAACTTAGATATGTGAAGAAAAAGGCAATGCTGCCACTATTAGTTGATGGCTCTATGGTTGGAAAATCAAAAGAAACTATCTGGGTCATAGTCTGGCTTCAGCTTTACTGAGGCTTCTGAAGGGCTTGTTTTGGAGAAGTCATTGGGCAAGGTCATGCATCCTGAAAACAGGTTTAATGAAGTTGCTTCTGGCAGGGTTGCAGAAATATGGTCAGGGAAAATGGGATGAGCGGCACTGTTTGTTGCTTACAATTTTACAGTAGCCTGCCTACTTAGTGGAGTAGGTTCTAACAACACTTGGGGTTGGAGGGGGTATGACATGATTATCTGCAGCTGTTGTGGGAAGCAGAACATGGAGGTGGAAGGGCAGGAAACTTGAGTACAAGGACAGCACATTCAGGTACTGTACATAGAAGAATCTGGCTAATCCTCCCCTGCATGTAGAAAGACAGTGGCCAGGGGGCATTGTAGTGATAATGGCTCTCAAAGTGATTGTCTCCTGAATCGTATTCCTCCCATCTGGATTTCTTAGCCTTGATTACAAAATTGTCATTGTGGATCTATTTTACTTCCTCTTCTTTCCTCTTTCTTGGGTGTGCTGTCTGCATATCCCATGTTTTGTTTTGTTTTGTTTTGGGTTTTTTTTGGTCTTTCATACCTTCTTCCCTCAAGTGCAAGGGAAGTAGATTATTTTGAGATGGCATGAATGAAAATGACTTTTCTACTCTTAGGCTTGGTAGTTTGAGTGTAGAATTCTAATTTAAGAGTCATTTTTCTTCAGACTTTTGAAGGCATTATTCCATTGTCACCTGGCTTCCAATGTTGCTGTGTTGAAGTTCAAAGTCGCCATAATTCTCGATCATTTGTATGTGGAACTTTTTTTTTTTAACATACACAACATATATCTTTATTTCTGGAGGATACTCTGTCTTCAGAGTTCAGACATTTTCACATTGTTAGGTCTTATTTTTTTATCTCTAGTGTTAGGCCCCTTTCATGTCTAGCAATTTGATGGCTTTCAGTACTGGGGAATACTCTTTGTTGGTTGTCTTGTTTCTGTTTTCTCTTTCTGGAGCTCCTGTTGTATGTTGGACTGCTTCTTCTAATTACCTTTTGTACTTTTTCCCATCTTTGTCTTTGCTCTTTCTAGGCAAAGCTAAAGAAACTTGATCTTTCAACTCTTGTATTGAGTTTCTGAATTTTTATTTTTTAGTTTTCAAGCTCTCCTTTGCTCTCTGTTCCTGTCTTTGTAACATCTTTTTGTTCTTCTCTCATTGATTGTAACAATTTCTCTGGATATTTCTTTCCCCTATATAATTTGTTTGCTCTTAAATTTTTCTTTCCTCTAGTCTCAATGTAAGAAGCTTTCCTCAAAAGGAGGGTAATACGTGGGTTGTGTGCTTATTAAGATTGTGGTGGGGTGGGGACGGGCAGTTGAATGATACTTTTTTAAAAATTGACTGGAAAATTTGAGTGTTGTGGAGGCGGGATGCTTGTCCATTTGGAATGTTAATGTGAGGTCATCAGGGTGGGCATTTGTGAAAATCCCCAGTGTCAGAATAGTCTTTTTTCCTGGGCTGATCAGATATATCCCTCAATGAAGAGTGCGGAAATATCTGGCTTCCAGTGTTCTGGGAGACAAATTGGGAGAAGGTTGTCATATCTTAGATACTCTTAACTGGGTCTGTGGTCCTCTAGTCTAGGTTCTCTTTCTAGAAAAGAAATTGCCATACTTCTGCTAGAGTGCGGGAGAGGATCTAAGGATTTAACTGCTTATCAGGTTTTGCTTAGTCCTCCCTTTTTATCCACATTTATCTCAGCCATAGTTCTAGACCTATCCTTTAAGATTCTGTGTTTGGGCGGGTCCTCAGCTTTCTCCACTGCTTCGATTTCAGTTCTCAGTGAAGTTACTGCTCTTGTATCCTTGTCCTTCAGTGTTTGTTTAAAGCCCCCTTTATTATAAAATTTTAGTGGGGATTCTGGAAAGATTAAGATTGGGTGAGTATATGCAGTCTGCCCTCTTAACCTTGATTTTGTTTTGAATTTTGAAAAAAATAGATTCCTTCTTTTGTTACTTAATTTTGGATGCCTGTGAGCTCTAGGAGGTTGGGGGGAAGAGGGGATTCTTGTTCTTTAAAGGCAAGAAAGAGTTAGCAAACTTCCTCTGTAAAGGACCTGATCTTAAATATTTTGGGCCATATGGCATCTTGCAACTACTTAACTCTGCTATTGTAGTGTGAAAGCAGCCATAGACAATACACAAATGAATTAATGTGGCTGTGTTCCAATATAACTTGACATATGAAAATAGGAGTGGGCTGGATTTGGCCATTTGATATAGTTTGTTGACCTGTTTTAATGCTTTAAGATTCAGATGTTTAATAAATAGTTGAAGTGACACTGGAGAAAGAGCTGTTCGATGTTATGTTATCTTTACTCTAAGTATGCTTAACTCTAAGTATGCTTCGGTTTATACTAATTTAAAGATATTCCAGATATAATCTATATCATTTCTGATGAGAAGGCTGATTTTTTTTTCCCGTTAGTTGACAGCAACATACATTTTGCTAGCAGAATACAGTTGACCTTTTTTGTACTTGTCCCTATGTGAAAATCAGATAGTATTGTCCATATATGAAAAATTTTCAAATGCTGTCTCTACACATGTAAACGAAATTTCTAAACCAAATGTTAAAAGGTAAAATTACAGAGGGAATTATATGGTGATCTATATATTGACTTAAAAAATTCCTTATTCCCCTTTTTAATGCTGGCCGTAATCTCATGTTCAAAAACTAGATTTTTAGGATGAAATGGGAAGAATGTTATCTTAATTACTTTTTACCTTCTTCAGTGGTGCCATCATTCTTTCTTTGTTCTAAGCATGAAGTAGACTCAGGCCTTCTCCTTAGCTTTTACTATTCTTTCCCATCTCCACTATGAAGTGAAGGAAAAGGAGGAAAGTCCATAAAGATAGTACAGGCAGATACGGTTGCTCCACAGCCATGCAGTATCTTTCTATTCTTTCAAACTCCTTCATCCTTAGCTGGTGATGTCTATTCTCTAGGATGCCTCATGGTCCAGTGTGGCTGCCAGTGCTCTAGCCTCCCTGTTGTTCTAGGGACGAAGCAAGATCAAAGAGGCCTCCCAGCTGTTTACCATCCTATAGAGGAAGCTCCCTTTAAGTTCTATGCTACTCCTTTTTATCTCACTTCCAAAACATAGTCACATAGCCACATCTAACTAAAAGGTAGGCTGGGAAATACAGACTTCTTATAAAAGCTTGGTGTATTGCCATCTCAAAATTAGCATGCTGTTACTAAGAAAAGTGAAGTCAATAGATATTGAATAGAAAATGCATACTTCCTGACATCTTATTCTCTGAACCAAAACCTATTAAACCACATTTTTAAAGCTTGAAGTTTAAACTATATTTGATCACTTGGTTTTAAATGGAATTTTAAGTACTTCCTATTTGTACTTGTTTACATTTGAAATTAGAAAGAAACTGAATTACCGTTTGGATTTCCTATTTCATGTTTTTGAAAGAGGCATATTAACGTAGGAAATAAATTCAAGTTTTTGTATATATTTTTTTGGTAATTGGGTACATTTGAACCTTGGTGTGATACTATGATATTGTAGCAAAGAACAGTCTGAACTTGATCAAGATTTGGATGATGTTGAAGAAGTAGAAGAAGAAGAAACTGGTGAAGAAACAAAAATCAAAGGTATTATTTTAAATTTCTTCAGGAGCCAATGATTGCTGGCACATGTCTTCTAGGGGGTAGTAACAATTGCCATCCTCTCTTTGGATCCTTGTCCACTTTATCCACTGGCCCATTCCTCAGTTCAGTAACAGTTTGTGTGTGTATGTGTGTGGGGCAAGGGAAGAAGGAAGTGGGGGCAGAGGGAGCTGGAGATGAAGTGGTAGGTAGTAAGGGAGGAAGGTACCGATCTAGTGACCGCTCAGAAGTCACTGTGTATATCCTCTACTGTGAAAGTGACATGGCATAGCTGTTTCAAACAGCTACCCGTGAATTTTATCTGAATTTAGAAATGTTACAGGTGTTGGTAGGGGTTGTTTTTGGTGGTGCCTCTAAACAGATAGCACTAGCTTAGACTTATTTGAAAATGTTGAAAATTTTGTGTGTGTGTGTCTTTTTAAATCCATCGCAACCAAATGAAAAAAAAAAAGACATTAAATGTAGACAAAAGCATTCCAATTTTTTTTAAGCAAATAATTTTAAAAGGAGTTATTGACGGTGGTGGGAATTACACTGCTTTAGGTAATGACCTGTAGATATGGGCCAAGAATATCAAGGTGTACCAATGACGCTCTTCAATACTGAGCCAGAATGAGATTACCGTATTTTGCCGTATATAATGCACACTTTTTTGCCCAAATTTGTGAGGGAAAAATAAGGATGCGCATTATACATGGGTAGTACTAATTCTGTATCTATATAAATGTTTTTAATTATTTATACTTAATGCGTTAAAAGTATAACTCTAGCAATCAATAATGCTATCTATATGCAAAATAATACCCTAGAATACTATAATTGGTTTTGTTGAAATTACGACTAACTTCCAACAACAAAGTTCCTGGCCTTCTATGATGCGTAAAGATTGTAAATTTGTTACTGGCATATGAAATTTCTTGTACCTTATATCTGTTCTTATGTTTTTTAATTATTTGTTACATAAAATTTCTTGTACCATAATATGTTTTTAAAAATAAATGCTAACATTTCTTTATAATACAAAAAGCAAGTACCTAAATGTAAACAAACACAAATTTGAATTAAAAAATTTAAATGAAAGATTTTTTTTTCCCCTGAAAGTTTGAGCCCAAAACATGGGTGTGCCTTATACATGGGAGCACATTATACATGGCAAAATATGTTAATTGTTAAAAGGCTACTGAACTTCTAGATTTAGCTTTCATCTTGTAACATTTTCCTAAAAGATAAAGACTGTATCCTTAGTGGCCAATGTTGGTATTTCTAAAGGCACGTTTGTTATCACAACTGTATATCATCTAATAACCAAATTAATATTAGAAGTAAAGTAAACTTCAAAACAACTGGGAAAATTAAATGGCAATTTTGTGTAATATCGAAGATAAGATGGCAAAATAATTTGTTTTGCATAAATCTAGCTTATTTTTGGAGTGAGTAATTTTTAGACACCATTGATAACCAAATTTTGTTTAGCTTTAGTTATAACCTTTGACTATTTCAGCTGTTACTTTATTGATATACGTACACACAGGCACATTATACAGTCATCAAGTAAACATTCAGGTCACTCATTCCACTGTCTTCTAGGCTTGAAACCATATTTGCAGTTTTCTGAATGCATTGTCTGCCTTTAAAGGATTGTCAAGAGTCATAGGTAGGCATCTGGGTGAAACTTTGAGCTTCCCAAAATGCTAGATGGATGAAACACAAGATAGTAGGAAGCGGAAGGATATTGTTGATAGTTGTGGAAATAGAACGCATTAGAGATCATTAGGAATCTGAACTTATCTTGTACATTGGGTTTTCCTAGAGTGAATTTTCTTTAGCTTGCTGCTCGACTCATACCAGTGATTTATGGAATAGTCAGGAAAACCTCAAGATTGGATTGTCCTTTTGAAAAAGCATAATACATTTTCATAAAATCCTTTCGATGCCCTTTTTTTTTTCCCAAAGCGCGTCAGCTGACTGTTCAGATGATGCAAAATCCTCAGATTCTTGCAGCCCTCCAAGAAAGACTTGATGGTCTGGTAGAAACACCAACAGGATACATTGAAAGGTACAAGTTCTTTTTCATAGCCCTTATTTATCTTTCTATAATCAACATTGCAGGTCTGTCTATTTCTAAGACCATCTAGAACTTATGTATATAATAGTGGAAAGCTAATATTTGTTATTATCTAGTATAGGATTATTTGGAGTTTAAAGTTTTGCTAAGTACCTCCAATTTAGAGTTGGTCTTTTACAATTTATTTTGGTTCATCTCCACAGCAAGTAGATTGATCTTTACTATTTCTGAGATTTGTTTAGAGGTTTATTAGAAATGCACTGAATTACAAATACAGATTTCTTATTTTGTTGGTGATATAAATCATTAATAATAGTGCAAGTATCTTCTGTTTGTAATATTTTTTTTACATGGCTTTATGATTTTAAGATCCATTCATGTTTCTACCATTCATGTATGTATCTAGTAGCTTCTAGCCTGTTGCCTACTTCTGATGTGTGTCCTCCATGTTTTATTATATGCTTTTTTCTTTGATGGACACCAAGATTACTCCATAAACACAAAGTATTATAATGGTCATCCTTGTACATGTCCTGTTATGGAACTGCAAGAATTTCTTTGGGGTTTTTACTTTTCAATGGGATTGCTAGTTATGGGGTTTGCAAGCCTTAAGAACTTGCAGCTTGCTTTCTAGAATGACTGTATCCAGTGCATGGAGGTTGCTTTATCCTGTGTCCTTTCCAATAATAGGCATCATTCAGCTTTATAGTTCCTTTTAAAACCAATTAAAGAGGTGCAGGCTTAATTTATTTGTATTTTCTGATTTCTATTGAGTTTTGAGCTTCTCTCTTCATAATGGTTATGCTCATTTGTGCCCTTTGCCCGTTACCTGTTGGGGTTTACTGTCTTGTTTTGCAAAAGTTTTTATGAATTCTAGGCATTAATCTCTTAACAATTTTAGACATTGTAAATAATCTATTGTGTAACTTTTATTAAATTTATCCATAGCATCCTCCATTAAACAAATCCTTAATTTTTATGTTCATTAAATTTTTTGACCTATTGTATGTTTGAAGTTGTCCTTCCTAGTTCCTTATCCATTTCCTATTGACTAGTTTTTACCTTTCACCTTTAGGTCTTTAATCCGTCTAGAATCCATCTTTGTATTTGGTGTAAATAGGCTTCAAGCTCTTTTTTGTTTTTTTAGTGAGCTAGTTTTTATAACACTTCACTAAATAGTTCATTCTTTTATTTGTGGTACCACCTTTGTTGCATATCATTTTCTTATAAACACCTTTTTGTCTTTGAGTAGCACTCTTCTGTTTCATTGATCTTTTTATCTCTTTTGTCATTGTCACAATTACTGTGGCTTTATAGTATGTTTTCATATCTGCAGGGTGAGTTGCTTTCTTTCACCACCCCCATCCCCCACGGTTGACCTAACTGTCTGTAGACCTTAATCGAACATATGGTTGACAGTATGTTTATCAGGGTTCTCTAAACTAAACTTTTGATAGCAATTACGTTGAATATATACATTAACATGGTAGAAAATTCTGTTTCTAATACTAAGTTATCCATATTTTTGTATTCAGATCATATTCTGTGTCTTTTATTACAAAGTTTCTTTATAATCTATTCTAGATTAATTCCTGTATACATTGGTTGTGTTGCTATTGTGAATAGTATTTTATCTTTTTAATGTATTTTCTGCTTGGCTGCTCTTGAATGTAGAGAAGGAAGGTTATTGATTTATTTTTTTTTTTAAGTTGATTTTGTATCCAGAAACGTTGCTAACACTTAAATGATTTGTTGTTTTTTCTCCCGTGGGCAAAAGATCCTATTTGCAAATGGCAGTTTTAGCTTTCATCTTCCACATTACACTGCACTACATGTTTTTTTTTTCTTTCTTTATAACATATTAGCCAGGACTTTTTCAGTATTATGTAAATATTAGTATTAAAGTGGGCATTTTTCTCTTATTTCCAATCTTAACCAGGGATGAATATAAAATATCCATTAAATTTTATGTCTGTTTGTGATTTTTATGACCCTTTTTTCCTGTATCAATTCAATTGGACTTTTGACTTTCTTAGAATCTACTAAGTATATATATTTTTTGAAATACATATATTGGATATCAAACTAGCCTTGTATTCCTGGAATAAGCTTAATCATGATGTATTGTTACACCGTTGAGTTGGGTAGTTAATATCTATTCAGCGTCTTTATTTATTAGTGAAATGAGCGTATACATGTGTGCATGTATGTATGTACAATACAAAAGCTTTCAAGGGTCGTAATTCTATCCCCTGTCAACTGCCTAATGAAATGAACATGGTTGCTTTTACTTTTTTCGCTGTTTCCTGAAACAACTTGTATAGGATTGGAATTACCTGTTCATTGAACAGTTGGTAGAACTCCTTATAATTGACTTGGGCCTTTAGGATTTGGGAACTAAAAGTCTTGGGGAATTTTTCCCCTTTTTTTTTTAAACATGGAAATTGAGCTCTTCAAAATCTCTCATGCCAATTTTGGAGTTTTATATTCTTTTGAAAATGTTGCGTGCATTTTATCGAGGTTTCAGATTGATTAGTATACAATTCATGATATTAAAAAAAGCTAATTGTTTTCCCTTTATGTTCTGTATTTTGAGTCTTCATTAATTTTACCATGTCTTAATCTTAATGTTTTCTAGAGCCAGTTTGTAATTTTTCATTTCCATATTGTTTTTTTTGTTATTGCTGCTGTCTTCTGGCTTTAATGTTATTTTCTTATTTGGATTTGCTCTATTCTTCTTTCCAGTTTCTTGAAGTGAGTTTTAGCTCGTATAATTTGTAAAAGCATTAATTTGTATCTCATAGCCTTAATACTCTTGTTTTTTAAAGTTCTGTGAGTGTTAAGTGTGAAGAGCTATATGTTGAAATTAATAGCTCAAGCTTAGTAATTATATTGTTCAGGTTCTCTATTTCTGCTTATTGAGTTTCTGCTTTATCTAACAGTGCTGAGAAAGGTGTTATTTAAATCTCTACTTAATTTATCTGTTCCTGTCATTCTGTCAGTTCTGGGTTGTATCATAAATTCTGTTTTGTCTGATACTAAGATAGCTGCCCCAGCTTTTATTTTTAAGTTTATTGTACTTCCTTTTTTCTCCTTTCCATTAAGTAGCTAGAGTTGTCTGTCTTCTGCTGGTTTTAAAGTTGATGCATGCCTTTTTTGTAATTATGGTAAAGTGGCCTATAACCTAATACCTAAGTTTATATAGCCCTATTGATTTTTTTAAATTTACCCCTATCTGTACTGTTTATAAATAATTTCTCTAGTCTTCTGTTTCTTTCCTTCCAGACAACAGTAAAATATACCAAGATATTTGACCATCCATACCTTATATATAGCATCTCCTGGATTTTTTTTTTTCTTATTCAAATATTACTTTTAATGATTATAATGAATATCTGGCATACTTCCTGAAGCCTGATATACCTCATACAATTTTTATTTTGCCTTCAGATTGGAATAATAATTTGCCTATAAAATTATAAGTTCAAAGTTCTTAATTATCTTTAAAAGTTACTTCATTTCTTCTTGTATAGTGTTTTCTTTTGAAGTCTGATTCCTTTTCTTTTGTAGGTTATTTGCTTTCTCATTGAACTCTTAGAACTTTCTTTTAGATAGACATGAATCTCTACATGTCTGGGGTTTGAGGAAGGATTTACATATTGCTTTAAGAAATTCTCATATCTCCAGCTATCCACCTCCCTTTGTTTTTTAGCTGTTGGTCAATTTGTCATCCATATCATAGCTTTTCTGTCTGCCTTTTCTGCTGTCTTTCTGGAGAGCTTTTCAACCCCATGGACTTTTTCTTCAGTTGAACCTTATCTTGTTTATCCTGTTTGTTGGTTATTGTAGTTACTGTATTTTTCATAATACTCCCACCCTGTTTTCGATTTCTTGGTCTTGTCTCTTTTTCCATCTCTTTACATATATTTACATTCTGCTGAAAGTCTTAGTCTAATAATGCTGCTTCACATAATAAGTATTTCATTCTGTCATAGAAATTGTACTCCTCAAGTGTCTAGTTATTTTGGCCTTAGAGCTCAGGAATATTGGGCAAGTTACTCCAATAACGAGTATTGAGGGAGGAATGAAAATCAGATTCTGGTTTGTGGAGTTAAAAAGGGAATAGGATGAGCCTAAGCTAAGGAGAGCTCCTGTCACCTTGGATTCAAAGTATGCAGAATAATTCTGGGCAGTTTCCTTTGATTGCAATCCATTGTACCTGGATTGGAGGGGTAGAGGAGTGACTGGCTTTGCAAAGGGTGAAGGGGACAGGCAATGAGTGTTGCAAGGGAAGTGCAGAACTTAAAACCCTTCCATCCAAACTGTCCTCAGTGCTATCCACTCTGACCATCTGTTCCCTCCCCAGGTGGTAGCTTGCCCTGTACCAGTTAAAGACAGCTTCAGCCTCAGAAGTTGCTCATGGTGTATTTGTGTATGTACATGTGCACTGAAGTAGTTGTTTCCTTGGGAAGGAGGAGCTAGCAGCCCATGCTGTTTGACCTTGACAGAATATTAAGCTTTTTATTTTATTTTCATTTATTTTTTTTTTAAGATTTTATTGGGGAATTGGGGGAGGGAACAGCGTTGGGGAATCAGGGAAGGGGAACAGACAAGTTGCTGTTG